CATCAGAGCCAGCAGTCAGGTCTACCTTAGGTGATACCTATATATCTATATACACATCTACACATATATTCGGGGGCGCCAAAGGGGGGGTGATGACTAGCGGGGGGGGGATATTATGGCGTGGGCTATGATATTACCGAAATTGCATGTCGCGCATTCTTATCGCATTACGTCCCTGGGCCCCGCCCTGGGCCACGCACGTGCCGTCGGCCATGATTTGCGCCCCCCCCTCTTGGCCGCCCCCGAGTGATATTACATTGGCCGTTGGCTGTGCCGAAGTTAGGCGAGGGTGGTGGGAGAAGCTGCGAAATCTCCCAGTTGAGAAGTTATCGGGGATTTGGTGGGTGATCGGTCGGCTTCGTCGGCAGAGGCCTGCCTCGCATTTCGCGGTAATGCAAAATATCTATATCATCCAGAAACAGAGGAGGTTCCGGCGTAGTCATCATTGTTGGAGGGCCCAGGGGAATGAGGTGATCGACCACTTGGCGGGGCCAGCGGCATCCTTGAGAGCGATCGAGTGCATTTGAATCGCTACGCGATGCTGTACTCCTTGTGACCTCATCCCGCTCCATCGTCGTACTCCCCCCTTCCTCTTCCATCCCCCATCCACTGTCCCATCCTTCCTCCTCCGCCTTCTTCCTGCTCGCTTCCTGCCCCATCTCTGCTTTCCGTGTCCCTTCCCCTCCTTCCCCTTTTTTCCATATTTTTCCCTTTTTTCCCCTCCCCTTCTTCTCCTCCTCTCCCCCCCCCCTCCACAACTATTCAATCTGAATACCATTCTCCTCCTTCCCCTGATGACGGGTTGGGTGTGTTCGCCCCCCCCCCCCCACACAAAAAAAACAGTTGAGGCGCCGGCCTCATTTTCGGGCCCCGTTCGTTCCGAATCGTGCTCCCGCTGCAGCGCTGGCCTCCTTTCCATGCTTCCGCTCGTTCCGGATCGTGCTCCCGCTGCAGCGCTGGCCTCATTTCCGCGCTTCCGCTCGTTCCGAATCGTGTTCCCGCTGCAGCGCTGGCGTCATGTCCCCTGCCATGCCACGGCGTGCAATGCAATGCTAAGTTGCGCTCCGCTGCGCGATGCCTTGCCTTCAGCTGAAGCTGTGATATGCAGCATTTCAGTGCCACGTCGTGCTATGCCGTGCTACGATGTGATATTCAACGCCATGCTCTGCAATGTTATGTTCGGGGCCGCTGTGCAATGCCATGTTTTGCGTTGCGAAGCTTTGTGATGCAATTCTTCACTGCGCCACGCCACGCCATGCTGTGTCATAGTTTTTTTTGCGGTGCTCTTCTACGCCATGCCATACCGTGCTCTACAACGCATCGCGTACCATTTCGGGATCATCGCCCTGCTCGACATCCGATTGTGCGAGTAGACAGGGGATCTACGCCATGGTAACGGATGGGAGGGAGGGGTAGGATGTCAGATATGATGCGAGCGCGCCTAGCTTGTCCCTCCCCCCCATCCCCCTCCTCCCCCCCGCCCCCCCCCGCCCCTTCCCCCGCCCCCGCTCGTCAGACCGCCCCCCCGCCAGGGGACGTCCGCCCCGGCGGACAAGCCGACGGCCACGTCCACGAGTTGTCCCCCCCCACATCCCCATATCTGCGCTTTTGGCGCCGCCCCTGGCGGCGCCATCTCCGCGCGCCAGGGATGGGGCTTTGTGCAAGAAGGCGGAAAGCGGCGCGGACGAGGAAGAGGAGAGGGAGGAAGACGACGAAGCGGAGGAGGAGGAGGAGGGAGAGGAGGAGGAGGAGG